GTCAGAACCTTTGGTCTGGTTAGTATTTCCGCATTAAAGGAGGAGCTTTCAAGACAGAACTGGGTTACCTGGGATGAGATGTGTTGCTGCGTTTTGAATTCACACACCAGGGGACACTGTCCTTGGTGAAATCAGCAGAGCCCTGGGGCAAGAATGTCGTGGATATCTACTGACCAACAGCCTCCATGCCTTGGCTAACAGGGGCATCGCTGCTCTAGAGAGGAGGACTAGAGTGCTCTAGACCCCAGCTTCATTGCAGCGGTATTACAGTGCAGACTGGAATTCTTTCATTTCAGCACGTGCAAATGAGCACATTTCTCCTTTAGACGTCTTCTGCATTCAGTCATCGTATCCAAGCCCAGATGGAATAGACTCTGCTCACTGTGGTGTGTTAATTATTGTCCAGTGGGTGATATGGCTTGCAGATCGAAGACAACACAGTTGTATGGCTTGCAGACCACTGGAGAAATTAATCATCTTGCTTTTATTTTTTGAAAAATGTAAGATTTTGTATGGCCTCTTTTAAAACCTCCCTTTTCCACGCTGCATACACTGGCTGCACTGCCTGGTTCTTAGCTGTGAGCTGACCCGTATTCACTTGAAGGCGAGAAGCCTGAGGAAGCATTGTTCATTTGAGATAACTTCAGGGGGGCATCTGATAAAGTCATGCGGACTGAGAAAACCTGGGGCAGGAACATTTTAGAATGTCATTCCAACACATTAAAGAATGCTCTCTCAGGACTATAGCGGGAGAGTCAAGATACCAATTTGCAATCTGTGAACAATGAAAGTAATTGGACATTGTTTGTGCTACAACTTTATAGCCACATAAGGAAACCACAGTGTGGATTTTGCATGTAAAGGAGGAGAAATGAAGGGAACATACGCTATATGAGCAAAAAATGTCTGTGATGAGGAAAGGTGTGTGTGAATAATTGGTATCTGTGATTGCTCTCACTGAGGACACAGCCCAATTATTATTTTTATTACCTTGATTAGCTCCTGGCTTCTGTTCTTCAGAGACTCTAATGATGGGCTTCCAAAATAAGCTCCCAGATGATCTAGGCTAGAGCACAGCCTGTAATAACTTTTGTGGGAAGAAATCCCCAAAATCATAAAGAACAGGACCTTGCTCAATACACCATGAATATCTCCATCATACAACTACAGACTGCAAATTACAGAGGAGCTCTTAAAGTGTACTGCCATACCCAAGATCGTGATGAATCAGCCCCTAGAAAGCATTGCAATTAGGGATGATCCTTCTGTCTCTGATAATGCATTTGCGTCCTCACCGTAGAGATTTAGACACTCTGGGAAAGCCTTTTTTTGAGGAAGGGTTTACCCCCCCACACACATTCCCTGGTGAAGGATTTACTGGGCAGATGTTTCACAACCCAGTAAGAGAAAATGGCCAGATGTTTACTGGAGGTAAAAAATCATCCTTTGCTGCTTCTGCCCTCATTTTTGCAGGATAGAAACCATGGCAGGTATTAACTCCGGCGAGATGAAGAAAGGAGTAGATAAAGGGCAGGAGATTAGTTATAATCTGTATGAAAAAAACAGATCAGTAAACAGCTCCAGCAGAGGGTTCCTAGTCAGTTTGTGAACATGTGAGCAGATGTGTCACACACCCTTGCAGCTGCAACAACATAGACATAAAAACTATTCTTCAGTGAGTAATCATTCACATTCACCAGACTTAACACTGTATCACGTTTACATTGTTTTTTTTACACGGGCTAAAGATCACAGGCATAAAATGTCACTGAAATCATTTGGAATGCTACTTTCACACTACCAAGAGTCTGAACCTGCTGCTGTGCATTTCACAAACACTGCACTTTGTTTCCTTTGGTGAAATAATCACTGTAAAGTTATTGCGTGTTGTGTAGTCTAGAGCTAGATACTGTATATCCTATGACCTTTTCATGGTGAAAGCAAGAAAGCAAGAATGATCTTTTGCAACCGAGGTTTGCAAAATGACTTGTGACAGTTCTGTGAAGCTGGCAGCCGGCGTGGCTGTGAAACCTGTGACTGGGCGGGGCCCTGCCAGCTGTGTTCCAGGTCAGTGTTTTATGAGGTCATCTGGACACGGCGTTACATAACCAGCTCAACATGAAGCAGTTGGCCAGATGTTACTGTGTGATAATGTGACGCACATGGGGGCTTTTCCTGAACTGTCTACGCAATCCGTGCAATTTTTGCAATCCCAAGCAATGTAAATAATTGATCCACTTCTCATTTTCTGCCCAGTGATGAGACTATCCATGCTCTTTGCCGGCAAATTATCCTTAACCTCTTTTTACAGAACACTTATACACAAGACACGTGGCCCATGTGGCACTTATATAATGAAACATACTGGTTAAGAACTTGATTAGAACTGATTACATTTCCTAAGACTGCATGGTGCTCACAGTTGTTCCCCATGCTGGTGTAAAACTGTGAGCTTTCCCATTCTGTGCATTTCCACTTCAAAGTCAAAGTCTACAAACATTTTTTGTGATGTGCTTGAAATAACAGAGACCAGAGAAGCAAAAGAAAAAATCATAAATAACACATATCATAGACAAAACACAAAATGATGCTACATTACAGTGAAGACGGAGTCCACAAATGTATCAGTACAGACTAGAATAAATACTTATAACACTGTTGAGTTAAGAGACCAAATGGCCTCAGGGCAGGTGCTCTGCTGGGATTTCATACATCTTCACTTTCAAACAGGGAGAAGGCTTTCCATTTCTCTTTTCCCTGTTCCCATCACACAGCAGTGCTGAGCAAGAGCCCCCTCTGTTGCCTTTTAGCTCCGGTGCTGTGCAGAGAGCCAGCAGAGGTCCCGTGTGGCAGGAGACGTTCTGCTTTGCCGTGGTTTCGTCATGGTTTCACGGTGCTTTCCTGGACTGTGTGCTGGATTATTACTGGACCATGTGACGGTCAGGGTTTTGTTGCCTCGCACGCTGTGATTGCAATTAAACGCCGCATGGATACAGAAGCAATTCTGAAGCCTGTGGCCTCACAGCTGCTGCTAGGACAAGAGTCGAGAGTGTTAGCAGGGAGTCTTCGCTTGGCCCCCCCACTCGTCTCACAGAGAGGGGACACTCTCACAGCTGCTGTGGTGGGACATTAGCAGTTAATTGTGGTTGGCTGTGAGCAGTGGGATCTGGCACTTCAAGGAAAGCGATGACACGGCGGCACTGCAGAAGGAGGAAACATACAGTAGGCTTGCTGTTAACCCTCATATCTCTTCATCACAGTGAGAGGACTTGGGGGCACTTTAGCCATAACAGGCGAGCAGAAAATGATGGCTCTCCCAGATGTGCACACCAATACAAGGAACAGTGAATTGGCTAAAATACTGCTGTGTATTCATCCCCAGGCTCACGATCTTGGAGAAAATGAGGGGCAGCGGGTAATTTGACTTGAACCAAAGTGGACGTCTTTGTCATGTGGCGTGCTTCAGAAATAGTCTCTGCAGGGGGATCTGCAGACAGACCCCTTTAATCTTGTCCACCACCAAAACCCTCACCCAGGGCTATCACATCAGCCAATCAGAACAAAAGGGACGAACACAACAGCCAATCAGAATCCATGGCTCCACACAGCGACCTCTCATGGCTCAATCAGAACCAATCAGAAATATGGCCCTTTTGAAGCTTTTCGTCCTATGAATCATTTTGCACAAAATGACTGTGCCACTGGCTCTAAACATTGTTTGTATCGCATCTGTACAACATTAAGCTTCTCTGTGCTGTGCTCCCTTCTTGTTTTACCTTTGGGTCTGTTACAAAATCAGTTTCATATTTATTAACAATTATTATTTAATGACCTGAAGGTCAGCAGAGCACTGGGACCGCATATGGAAAAAACTAGACCTATATTTAGCTTATGCAAGCATGAACATCTTTTTAGAAAGCAGATACTTTGTCAGTTACAAGACAAATCCCTTTTGTGATTGAATTCCTGCAGTCATGGTGATTTGACTCTCTTTAAGGGTTATTCTAGGTCTCCTTGAGCGTGTCCTTACAAAAGAAAAACTGCTGATGAAGTATCCATATACAGTATGTGCCCTCAGCTGACTTTCAATTTTGTATTAAAGAATGGACAGAGAAAAATAAAATATATATATATTTTTAAATAAATAGTAATGTGAATATAACAATTAATATAATAATGTAATAATTATTATAATATAATAATTCTGTATGTAAGACAGAGACATTACTTGCAGTATTGTACTCTTAGCTGTGATATTTTAGTGGTCATTACATTCCACATTAGGCTGGATACATTAGTTTAATGTATCCTGCCTTATCCAAAGTGATGCCATTTAGAAATTAAAAAGTACTATCTGGCACACTCTTTTTAGCAGACTGAGTGTAAAGAGCACATACATTTAGAACACCTACATGTGTGAGATACATTCATCTATTACCAGAAAATGACTTTGTTCAGAGATTAACCCAGAGGCTTAACGTACAAAGCCAGAAGACCCCTTCAACAGGACACTAGTCCGACGTGGGGCACACACAATCAGCATAAAAATCATGTTTCATTTAATTATGTTTCATATTTCTAAAAGGCAAAAATCAGCCCCTAATGTTTTGAAACCCAAATAAGAAACATTTAAACAGGAAAAGCTCTTGAAATCATAATTTTGAAATATTTATGTGACACTTTCCAGGAAAGGCGATTCTGTGTGAGTCCATTCCAAGCAAATGTTGCAACATCCAGCTCCTTAATTACTTCATTAATAACTCATGAGCTCAATAAAGCAGGACATAGCGAAAGTATTGCATTATTGCAAGGCAGTGCACAGGAATGGCAGCCCTGTTTTTCAGTTCTGACACTTTTTTTCTGATGAAAATGAGATTTGTGGTGTAAATGTCGCATGGTGTAAAAGCCAGTTCACACATAAGGTTTTGGGGTAACTGCATCCCTCCCCTTGATAAACCTTAATTGCTAACTAAGCAGCCTCCTTGTTCCTGTGGTTGCAGGTGCGAACACCCTCTGGTCTTGTTGCCCTGCACACAGAGACGCACCGCCATGGGCAAGCAGAACAGCAAGCTGAGGCCGGAGATGCTGCAGGACCTGCGAGAGAACACCGACTTCTCTGACCACGAGCTGCAGGAGTGGTACAAGGTGGGTGAGAGCCTCCACAAGACCGCCCGGCCGAAGCCGAAGCCTGACTCAGGCCAGGCGACGGCTCTGGTCCTGGGTTCCTGGCTCCACACAGCGCCACACCTTGGATGCTTTGCATTTGGTTGCAAAACACAAGCCCTGGAACCTACAGCAGCCCTGGCCACATTGTGTCACACTTCTGCATATGCAGTGCAAGGTTTCCTTAAATGATGACAATGGGCACAGATTTGTTGTGACCACTGTGGTAGTGACCACACGTATGAATGATCCCTTCATGTGTACAAAATGGTCACTTACATGGCAGTCAAAATGATTCAAAGCAGTGTCTCCTGATGCTCGTTGTTGTTGTTGTTATTGTCCACATGAACATCTGCTCCATGGCCGTGTCTCACAGTGATGTGCAGTTTTCAAAGTCCAGCTTCTGGAAGAGGTCAGATAAATTTAAGGATTCATGAGAATGCGTTTCTTTTTTCAGTAGCTTGCTCAAACTCTAATTAGCAGGACGGGACGATGAATATAAAAGGAAAACATGTTTCATATTTTAATGTTTGGCGTTAACTCTGCTTGCTGAGGAAACGACAGTAATGCCAAGGCTGATAAAAACACCTCACTAGTGAGGAATGATCCAGGGAGGCAGCTGTGGTGGTGAAGATGGAGTTGAGAGAGGGGTACCAGGAAAAGACGTCCGCAAGGTAGGCTCAGCAGGCGAGATAGGTGTTTCTATTTAAGAGAGCGGAAGCTCAAGATTAAAATTTGACCTCCTTCCAGAATTGTATATAACATCTCAATTTTTTACAAATATTTCTTTACTTAGGAAAAAAAAATTCCAGGGATGGACAGAGATTTCTTTCATTCTGTTCAGCTCCTTATCGAATTGACACCTGAACTGCAGAAAACTGCTATTAACCAGACAACGCTGAACTTTTTAGTGTTTTCAGAAGATAAATAATTGTCATGTTATTTAATTAAGTAAATCCAAGAGGAAAACATCCTCATCTCAGACAGAAGGAAAATTCAGTGGCACATCCACGGAAAGTGTAACAAATTCAATTCGATAACTCGAATGACAGGTCGTGTAATGAAGTTTGCATCTCTCCTACAGGGCTTCCTGAAGGACTGCCCCAGTGGCACGCTCAACGTGGATGAGTTCAAGAAGATCTACGCCAACTTCTTCCCTTATGGTGATGCCTCCAAGTTTGCTGAGCATGTCTTTCGCACCTTTGATACTAACAACGACGGCACCATCGACTTCCGGGAGTTCATCATTGCTCTTAGTGTCACGTCGCGTGGCAAGCTGGAGCAGAAGCTGAAGTGGGCCTTCAGCATGTATGATCTGGATGGCAATGGCTACATCAGCCGGGAGGAGATGTTGGAGATTGTTCAGGTGAGGGTGGAGAGGTGCTGGA